GGGTGTCTCTAATGACATAGCATAGTCTCTTAAAAGTGTTCTTTTACTAATTGAGGTAAGATGGCTTCTACGTGGATGCACGAAATGTGTTGAAATAACTTTTGGGTGACTGTTCGTCATATTTTCCTGATATATCGGATAGTTTTAGATGGATGAGAATAGCAGTGCAATAATCAGTGTGCATGACTCTATCTCTACACAGTAATGTTTGGTGAAATGTCAGCTGATGAGGCATAGGTTTTCAATGGGAATGAAATCACGCACCATTGAGACGTCTTTGCTCTCATTTATGTTGCCTGGAGAAATCAGGCTGAATGGTTTATTCGCCGATGACAAAGATTTATCATATTTGGAGAATTTGCAATGTATGGGACAGTAATTGGAATTAAAGACTTGAGGGTCACACAGGAAGTCGAGCTCTTTTAGTCATAAACACATGTCAATTTATTACAAACGAATAAGTTGTTAACTCGAATTCAGTTAAACTTTGCTGCCAGTCAAATAATACCAATCATGCGTATGTATGTCGCAGTTGTGTTAATCGACTCAATCAGATTTTACAAGAGTGCTGATGGTGGGCTATGTGGCTGTTGGTATTCTGCACTACATAAATTTCAGAATAACTCTTATTATTGTTCCCAACTCTATTAATCTAACCATCTACGAAGGTGCCAAATATACGAGAGCACCACCAAATTTGCTGATTGTTTCTGCTAATTGATTGAAAAAGTAATCAATTTATGCGCAGGTCCCTTGAATAGGAGTTCTTCTTATCACCTCTGATCAAAACATTTCCACACACTTCTCAATGCCAAATAGCTGAACAATGAACTCACTTCGCCTCCTATTCTTCACTCAACGTTTCGTCACACCCAAACAATTATCACCATCCTCCATAGAGACTAACTCACTTCATCCCCCTCTTTCGGTTCCATTAAGCTCGCTCTTCAATACCTACCTATCATTCCCCCTATCCATCCATCCCAACATCCAATCATCCATCCAACTAAAGATTGGGCAAAAGTGGCTGTAAACACAATTTTGATTTAGATATCTTTGGAGGCTGCAGCGTCTAAATTCTTATGAAACGCAGACAAACAGGCCCCTAGTGATGAACAGCAGGGTATGTGCAGAGCACGTAGTCAGGGGCAGACCCACGACAATTGGTAAAATTAGACTGAACATGTCCACTCCAGGCTTGACGACCTAGATGTGGCAGCATAAATCAATGGTAAACGTGATTTGAGGGTGAGATAAAGTGCCAATGGCGTGAATCCATTGAAAAACTTGATGTAACAAATGAACACTGATGTCATTCGCTCCATTTTCATTTATTCAAGTCACTATTTCCTACTTGAGCTTGTGCAAGTCACTCTCTTTACCTCAATTTTTTTCATATCATCTCTTAAATAAATTGTGGCAACTCGGACCCAGCACGTTGATTATCTGGCATCCACAATCAGGATCAAGTCCAAAATTGTTATTTATTTTAACTTACTCTAAATTCAATTAATTACTCCAAATTCATAAAATAAAATAAATTTAAAATAATTTCTACTTGTTCTATTTAAGTACTATGTATCTCTGATGAATCGGTGACTTACAGGCACAAGGACAGAGATGTTTCAAATAGAAAAGCAGCACAGAGTTGTTAAGTGCATCAAGACTCAGAGTCCCAACGTGTCAACGAGGTTAATATAGGTGATGACTCAATGCGCGAAATGGTCATGGTCACTGACCAAACTCCCTCACACAACAGCCAAGTAAGAAAAGACTGGCACAAAATGGACTTGGTGGTCTGCAAGGTGACACTACCACCATCATTCGATTCGGACAATCCTTTGCCATAAGATGTCCTCTGATATTGGCTTATTGAAGACACATTTTCACACAGCTGTCCAAATTTCTATTACCCGAAGTATTGAGCATTCCTTTCTTCCTGTGATCGAGACAGGCGAACACTCTTAATCCCGTCTTGCACTTTACAGTACTTTCGATGGCATCAACACACTACTAGGTCGCTTAAGAACTCAAAGCAAGTTTGCCTTTCAGGTTCTGGATTTGGAGCTGAAAGGTGAAATGCACGAAAGTGACTCCAATTCCCATCCCACACTAGATCAGTTACCTACCTCTCGGCATCTTTTCCGTCTTCACTGACTGAGTGACTGACTACCTGACCCAGGTTGATTGCCACACCAACTCAAAGACGACGTTAATGCACCTTTCATGCCTTATAGCATCCGACTATGCGTCCTCAACTTATCTTTAAATGTGAATTAGTCAATTCCCCCAAACGCCTTAAACCTTGTAGCTATTACACTTATAGATTAGTGAAAGTGCCAACCTCAAGCTAAACTCCCCAACTTCACTCTAAATGCAAAGTGAATTAAGGTAGAGGAGTTGGAGGTGACAGGGGGGGGGGAGGGGGACTAAGAGAAAGAGGAGGCGGTGTGTCTAGGATTTGTATTATTCATAAATGTATCGGACAAGTGGGGAAATATTGAAATCAGATAATTGAGAGTTGGGATAGCGGAAGGTGGCAGCAGTAGCAGCAACAGCAAGACAAGTTTGGCATCATCGTGTGGCGTACTGAAAGGGCAGATAAAACTCAATATTTTGTGTTTCGAATATTACTCTCCATTTCACGTCGTCTCCTTTCCACTCTCTAACTCTCTCACACACTCTCTACTTCTCTTACTCTACCCAGTCGGACATCAACAGAGCTGGAACACTTGCAGTCTGACCAATTCAACTCAGCGTCTCTGTACTCATGAGAGACGGTACGGACAGAGAGGAGTGCTTACTATTCTCTTGTTGAGTTTTGCATCTGCGGATCGGCGTTCGCAGATTGTGATTGGATGAATGGGCTGTTGATTTTAACTGGGTTCAACCCGCACTTCTGTTCTTACCTAATATCTGCCTGCGCAAGTTGCCGGATATTGTGCAGTACCGAAGTAGAAGAAGAAGAGGAAAAATAAATGGTAATAGTAGAATCAGTTTGAAATTGATAAACCGTCTTATTTATAGGATATTGGAGTTGAGAGTATGCCGTGGGCACACTCCTAAGCACGAGAGAAGAGGATGTCAGGAAACTAGTCGCATATTAGCCTTTTGAATTTCTCCACGTCCGAGTCCCGTCTGCCTTCCACAGTCATCACAAAGCACAGTTCACCGTGCTTGTTGCGTCTTGCGATGGAGGTGTTGAGACGTGTTTTGCATTCGGTGAGGCGAGCGGCTCGAGAGATGCGTCTGTCGTCGACGTCTCCGATCATATCAGCGTATTTGGTCTGGATCAACATCAAGCACATGAAAGTGGAAGACTTCCACCACGTCGTTGAAGCGCGCCACTCTCTTCACTGCTTTCACGTCTCCTCCACCCCTAATAGCTGAAGCATCACCTTGAACAGTAGCAGCAGCATCAACAACGGCAGCTGTGGTGATGGTAGAGGTGTTGTTGTTGGGGGTGATAGTAGTAGTGGTAGTGACTTCAATTGTTTAAAAATCGATTATTCTTGCATATGCTGCTAACACATGCTTCAACTCCAACGAAATTTACAAACCACATTCTGGCGCATCTTTTTAACTCTTACTTGTAAGCAAAGTGCTGAAACAAGAAAAGGTAGTTTGGGAGGAACCATTGGAATTCATTCTTTTCCACTACCGTGATTCATTAGTAGGACTAATTGATATGAATTACTGTTCCATCTAATGCACCAGTGGCTGTACAAATACCGCAATTTGTGATTTGGAAATGAGCTGATGCCGTAGCCATACTCAGTGAAGATTTCTACTCATAAAATAGTGGCAACATTTAGTTGAGAGCCTAGAAGTTGGTATGCAAGCTTGATTATTGAAATAAATACGCCTGACTACGTCTAGTGGTCAATTAGGCAGAACTGGTGTAAGTGGTTTTTGAAATAGGATAAGCAATATTTCCTACTAAATGCAGAAATTGTGGTTAGTTGTGAATGTGGCTCTGATTTCCTGAAGTGTGTTGTTTAGATTGGTTGGTGACTTGTGAATTGTAAGTTGGCGAGTTGGGTATTATTTTGGAAGTGAGTGCCTTCGACGAGATTGTGGTCCACAGAAGTATCTTACCTAGATCTCTAATGGAATTGAAATTCTAGATCTGATTTGTGCGTCCAGTGGCTTGGATTTATTCAGTTCAGTTTAGATATACTGCATCCCTCTTCAACAAATTAGGAAGTCTCAATTGGCGAAATGAATAATGAAATAGAGTCAATATAGGGAAGGAATCACGTGGAACTGATTAAATACAAATGAAAGCTTTATGAACCCAATCACTTGGTCTTCATCCACATCTAATTGATGAATATTCTTTCCACCACACCAACCCCACCCCACCTCGAGGATATTTCAATTAAGTTTAGTTTGATTCACAAATCCGATAGGTATCCTAGGTGGTTCTACTAGTCTGCGATAACGCCTCCCAAAATGGATCTCAAATTGTAAAGTTGGCCTTTTTAATGTAATCTGGATAGAGATGAAGTGAGATGAAATTCAAAATGATTCAAAACTAGCGAAATGGTTGGAAAAGCAGAAATTTGACAGCGAAATTCTGTCAAACAATCTTTATAAAGCCAATTATCTACGGAAGTTGGCTCGGATCCCTTCACGTGGAACTAGTAAAAAAGTTTGCTTTCTATTAATTTGCCCTATATTCATATAAATAAAGGAAAATTGAATTGAATACACTAAAATTACCCTAAAATAAAGAATGTTTGCATTTTATAAGTGGCATATGCGTGTACCTATATTTCCACATCCAATTCATCTGCATTCTAAACCGAATGTTAATGATAGGGGAAGTAGGCAGAGGTAAGGCAACGTTCAAACCTCTAACTCCTTAACATTACCCAATGTCTTCATTTATTTGGGCTTTGAAAGGCGTTTCTAGCTGGCGATAGTGAAGTTTTCATCGTACTCCAGGTTGCTAGATTGCTGATGCCCAAAAATCTATTTCTTGTCAATCAGTCGTCCTCATGGAAGATTGTTGAAACGAGTCAAGCTGAAGCACCACAATATGTTCCCTTATCAAAGAAAAGGCCTTGTTCCTGTATGAGAAGTTACTGCGCATTCCCATAGATAAGTTCTTCAGCACCTCTGAGAATAGACCAAGATATCTGGAAACGCAATATGGTCTAATACCGAAAGCCATAGAACTGAAGAAAGTATTATAAATCGATGACAAACCAAAAGGCCTCGCTCTATTCATGAACCCATTAGCAGACACTGATGTAGTGTGTTGCACCTAACTGCTTGATTTCTTCAGAAAATCAAACACCCATCCAGAGCAAATGCGCTCACTGGCCCTTGAGACAATCAATGTCAACTATCCTGCAGATCAATGGCTCCAAGTCTTCACTGATGGGTCATACATAGAAAACGACGAAAACATTGGTGCAGGTGTCTATTCTGAACTCTTCTCTTTCTACGCAGCAGCGGGACACAATAGATCCGCTTTTGAAGGAGAAATAGAGACCATTAGGATATCACTATGCCTATTATGTTGCCTCGATACGAAATTCACCAAAGCGGTGATACTTTAAGACTCACAGTCAGCAATAAACTCAATTGGAAACAGAGAGCCACCCAAAACAGCTGAGATAAAGGAATGTAGAAAACTCTATGAGCTGCTGAGAGAGAAAAACAAAACAGTGGTCCTATAATGGATTCATGGTCACTGTGACATTAAAGGCAATGAGATTGCTGACACACTTGCTAAGAAGGGGACAACGATTTTGCAATGCATGGACCGACCGATGTCTTTCCACACCATGAAGGCCTTAATCAGAAGAGAATTCCATACCTCAAGGTGCAACGAACTTAAAGCTCGAACAAAGGAGAAACAGTGGACAGTGGCACTCTCCGACATAGCCGACTGGCCAACAATCGGAGCTGTTGCTGAGTTTAGACTACGTACCGGACACGATTGCTTGGCAAAACACCTTCACAGATTGGGCGTATACACTCAACCCACATGCCCTCTATGTAACCTACAGGAGGAAATGGAGACCCACCTGATTCGGTGTCCAGCTTTAAAGACAAGGACGGAAAGCCAAAGATACTGGGAAGCAAGAAGACTGCTAATGAACTGCTATTAATTAACTGCTATAAATGTACCCCCCCCCCTCTTGGGGGAAGCTGAAGTCAAAGATTAAGGGCTTATGATAAATATCATAAAGCCTGTTATTTGAAATAATAATAATAATTTGGTATATTTGCAATAGATTTTCCTTTCAATTCGAGAGGGCCAGTGATATATTTCCAAACAGGACATCAACATTTCTTCTGAACTCTATGTTGTAACATTTTATTTCCCTTAGCTTGTACATGACTTCATTTGACTCTCTCATTCTCATTGTTGTTTTTGTTGTTATATTGGAGACGTTGAGAAGTAAACCGTCGTTTATGCTGTTCCTCAGCATAGAGATTCAGCATGGCAGAGACTGGAGGTAACAACTGCTCCGTAATCCGTTTTCACCCTATTTGTTCCGAATTCACTAATGACTCAGACACTCAGGAACTCGAGTTCGCAATGCCCTTTGCCTTTATGCTAGGCAAATACACGTCGATGCTCGTATAAACTAAAGTGGTCTCAAGTATTATAGGAGAGGAAATTTCGCTTATTTTTGATTGATTGCACAATCATTCAACAACATCTTAACCGGCGCTTCATTGGATATGTAATATTAAGAGTGTGCAGTGGCTCTCATTTTGATAGTAAGAACAATGGCTTGCTTATATTCATATTCAAGAATATGTCCCGAAACCAAGCCATTACACCCTACTCAAAGTGGATCAATTGTAATTGGCATGATCAGAATACCTTTCTGAAGGTGTCTCTATTGAGTAAAAAGTTGCCGCTCTGTATAATACTCGACATAGAGATGAAGGGAGTGGTGAAGTCAACAATTCCTTGAATACGTTCAATTTCAGGTCTACTCACTCACAAGGCAACGAACAATTTAGAGTTGGATCACAAATTAGGTGTCCATGCCTCTGCAAACGCACTCATTTCATCGGTTCCAACCATTGTCACGGACATTATTCTCCAACAAAATTTTCATCATCAACTACACTGAAGAAGCCTTTCCCAACTCCGGTTTCACAGATACCTTAATATTTATATAGAAGGAAATCCCACACTTACCCCCATCTTGGTATGGTGATTGAAACATCGAAATCTATACTTCTTCATATCCTCCTTTCACCTGACATAAATCCACCCATACCTACTGCTCGGCTTTTCTAGGGGCAAGATGGTATTAACGGAAATTGGAAATAGATTTGTATCTGAAAGCTTGGAATCATGGTTGATTATCACACAAATTTCTTATAATTCAACGTTTATTAAATCTCAATTCAAGCTTACATTTGTGTTGTCCTTTGTGTTCACATTTAAAGTACACAACATTCAAAATTCGGACTACAATTAGACATGTTGCCTGATTCACTCTCCTGCATTAGTCTCCAAACAGGACATTGACCGGAGGTCAAACCATAGGGCACCACAATCAATCGAAAAGAAACCTTCACGATATTGCGATACGGCTTTAATCAACACGCATAAGCGGCACAACATCGGGTTCTTTTCAATGTTCATATGGTGGAAGAATCAGACCACGATTTCGTTACTCGAACAACTCACTCGATGCTCATCAATAACTCATTAAGTTTTGCTCAGTAAGAGTAATTAGAGATTAATAATTTAGTGGGATATAACCATGTAAATGCCCTTTTCCTGATAAGAATAGCACTGCGAGTTAGATTGGTAAATCCAGAATCAATTAGTGAGAAGGAGGTTGCTAACCAGATGGAAGGGTAATTCAATCAATACAGGGCATACATGAATGGGAAGTTGGCCATTCGTTGATAGGGAGAATTTTTACCATTTCACAATGGCACCAAATACTCCTTCAAATCAGCCGATTCGGATGTATGGCTTCTTCCACCATCAGAGGAGTATTAACATGTCTACGAAATTGGAAGTCACGAAGATGCCCATAAATACTTATCATTGGTCTCAAGAATCAATATCACCAATATCCATTTAGATCTTTAACGAAACGAGGTACTGGAGACAATGAGACCTCATGGGGTGAGTATTATGCAGATACCATTGGTTAAGTGAACCGGATCAAACTGTCGCACATTGCATAGTGAATTTGATAGTCAAAGTCGAATATTTGATACTACCGTGTATCTCAATCACTTGACAAATAATAAATTTTGTTTGGACTTGAGTAGAGGAGGAGGAGTTGGTGGGTATTAGGGACTTATCATACTACATATTTAACTCCTTCAATTTCACGTTACGATAGTGCCATTGGTATGTTCCATCGGTGGCTCTATAGCAGGTACGATCACATTGCCATCTCAACGGTTGGAGGAAAGATGAAATGGATAGCTGAAACCGAAGGAATCACAATTCTCTAATATTTTGAAGTTGACCCCAACACCCTCCTGATTCCTTTCCTTTACCATTACCGGCACTTTTCACCTAATCGCTTTTCGTGTCTTTGAACAATTTGAATGCCATCTTTGTATTACTGCCCGTAATGCCGATGATGGCAATAATAAAAATAGTAATAATGGTTAGGATTAAGATGATTGAATTCAGATTCCATGTAGGGTAATGAAATGAAGAGGAGGTATTTAATTGGGTGTGAATTTGATTAAAGGTGGTAGGTGAGGTAGGGAAAAATATCCCATTGCAATAATACTACATGAGTCCCTACAGTTCCTTTTTTACTTTCCTCGAATGCTCCAGCTTTGCGTTTGCATGAAACGGTCTTCCAATAATTTTTCAACTTAATCTAAGTTTACTTTCATTCTGCTTATTTTGGAAATGAAACTTCGTGAGGACATTGGGTAATTTGGCCACGACGAGAAAGGTGAAGGCCAACGCAATTGTGAGGAAGCAAGGACATAATTGTGTAGTTACTATCAGCACACTATCGATCGGGATTATGTTGTGTTCTTCACATACTACCAGCACAACTAACACTTGTCGCTATCACAATTACCACACCCAGTTACTACTAACTCTGTGATTTTGCCAATGACTCCGCACTTTCACACAGTTTCAATCTTCAATGAGGGCATAACACTATTTGAACAATGACATTTAGCGTATGTAGTTAAGAAAATTCGCGTTTCGTAGTATTTCAAGGCAGTTATGAGTGTACATCTTATCGGGGTTGCACGCAATTTCATGTGGCATGCAAAAATTATGCGCAAATTAAAGCATTCTAAAATAGTTAAAGGTCGGATTTCACTCTGAGTATCGAAAGGAAATGAAGCCCTTCGATGATATGCCGAGTGCAAATAGCTTGGGGACAATTTTTCACTTTGCACGAACAATTAAAACCACTAGACCATCTTGCGCGATTAATCATATACACCTCTCATGCAATCTTACTGTGATTGGCCAGTTTCAGTGTGGCTTGACAGTTACCCAATAGAGTAGCCAGTCATGTGATAGCATAGCCAATCCAGTATCTGTATCAATGCTTATATATTTAACATAATGCAGCCCACACATCATTACGTGGTTAGGATGGTTACTCGCAGTATTATCGTCTTTGTGACATTCTGCCTTGTCTGTGCTTTGGCAGATCCATCGGTGGTCAAACATAATCAGGAGAAAATCCATGCGGCTCTGGCAACTGACATTTCGTCAAAGGATTTGCAACAACTCATTGTTTCAATGAGACACCTGGACGAAACTCTCGGAACTTTGAATCGCACAACAACTGAGGCAATCATTAAACGTGTGCACAAACCCGATGATCTCTTTATCAACCTATCTCCCGAGACCATCGAAGAGGTCTTGAGCAAGACCAAGGCCGTTGTTGCCCGAAAATTGCCGAAAACAAAGCGCAAGATGACTGATAGCTGGCTTAAAGAAATAGAAAAAGATGGTGTCCGAAAGAATAAACGTAGAGGCTATCGTCAACCATACTCCTTCGGCTGCCACTTTTTCCCAATTGAATATCCCTGTGTGGAGTTTGACTGTGAGCCGGTACCTGAGGTCTATCAACCATTTGAGGAGGGATATCCTCCTCAATCCGATTTGTACCCAAAATATGTTCCGGAATATCATCCAGTGGATAGCCTGGAGCCTTCAGTTCGCCACTCCATTTTGAAATATATGCCTAATATTCCACCTGAACTCGCAGATGCACTATTCTACCTTGAGCCGGGCTTTGTGAGTTACATCATTAATCACCACGAAAATCTTCAGGACCTCATGACCAAAATGCACACGATGACAGTGCAGTATGTTATGTCCTATGTTCCCGAGTTGCCCTCTCTCCTTGCAAAAATGGAGCCAAAAGCCATAGAGGCAATTTTGCAGCGCACCGAGCACCATTGTCATTACCTCAGTCGTTTTCAAGACCAGCATCTCGTTAAAATTATCATTGGAAAAGTGCCATTGCTCCAACCTTGTTTACCACACGTTGTGCCCGAGAAGTCGACTACAATCACAACGACCACTACCACGACAACAACTCCGGCTCCAACAACCACCAAGGCGGTTGTCATTTACCCTCCATTTTACACCAAAGAAGACATTGACGAGGCAAGCATCACTATTCCACAAATAGGGACGCTCTTGTCTCTTATTGAAGAGGAGAAACTTGAGGCGATTCACAAGCTAATCCCAAGCATTAGCAGCGCTCTTCGTGAGTTGAGCAAGGATCAAATTGACTTTGTTAACACCAACATGCCCATCATCACTGACTTAATGAAGAATATGACCAAAGAGGAGCTTCAGCAGGTCCAAAATCTCGCAAAAGACGATCCTGTAATAGAGTTTGTTATGGGGCTCATTTAATCTCTCTCTCCTCCCTCTCTGCTAAATGCCTAATTGCAGCTTTAATATGTTCTAATAGAGAGTACTTCAGAAATACGCTCCGCCTCTTAATTGGTTTTCGTTAATTGTGGGAATTGTTAGAGTAGACAACACTTATTGTACTTGCGAGTACTCATTGTGAGAATGGCAAAGAAGTGTGAAATACTCGTTGCATTGCTTTAACTTGAAGCTTGATCTTATTTCCACGAAGACATTTGCTCGTAGTCATTCTCCCGCAATTTCGGATTTAGAAGCATAAGCTGCATCTGAATATTCTCCCTGATGTGCCATTGAGGCCGCATCCATGCAGAAACTAAGGGTTTTGGCTTGAATAATTGAGTAATGTATCGGTTTTAGTAGGATAATTAAGTCTTAGGCTCGGGATAATTTCAGTTTAAAAGGTGAGTTTGCGGTTTATTAAACGGAAGGTGGTTAGGACCCGCTGTAAACAAAGACATGGCCGAAAATTCCATTGCGAAATGCCACAAACACTTCTAGTCGCGCTCCACCCAACTTTCGAAGACGTGGGAATGCGTTAACATGCCTGTTAAAGTTCTAACAGAGAGCTCACAAAGAAACAAAGGAGGTGGAATTGGAAAGAAAACGTTTTAACCCTCAAATATGACTAGGCTGGGTGGAGGAATTTAAATTATTTATTGTTCTGGAGAAGGAGATCTAATTTAGCTTGAATTAAAACGACTTCGTCCTCTCCGCTTCGGCTTCTTCTGTTAAGCATTTCTTACTAATATAACTCCAAAATGAGTCGATTATTCATGCATCTTAATGTGCTAATTAGCAAAGGATTTTATGGGAATCTTAGATGAGGTGATGGTTCTCCATACGCAAGGTCGCCATTCTAGATTTGTTACATGTTAAGTTTGAATAAGTGTAGAAGTCTGAATTGTTATTCGAATGACCTCTCGGGTGAAGCATTGAATAAACGAATCAAAGGTGTCAGGGGAGTATGAGGGAATGACATGGCACATTATTATTGTGTAGACGCATATGAAGTAAGCCTCTGGCATCTTAGAATTGGTCTGCTCTAGGAGCTGTATCACAGGGGATGGTCATAGTGAAAGAGCACTTGCAGGCCAAACTCATAAAGTCACAGCGTGCAACAGCAGGCTAAAATGCTGTAAGTAGTTTAGAGTGCACACCAATAAATTACATAAATGGTGAAAAGTGGTAACATTGATACGTATTTGGAGGCAAGCCCAGGCCACCCTAACAAATGCAGTACACATCATGAATTAATCTATACGATGAATGAATTCAAACACATACAAATATTTTATATTATTAATATTTATATTTACATATATTCGTGTATATGTATATGCATGTATAATCGTTAAGTTCTAGTGGTATTAATGATGGAGAGAGTACATGTAATGATACACGAAATAGATATCTTAAAGACCCTTGAATTAGTCGGAGAAATGTGCGCTCCTCTACAAGGTTAACTTTATCTAGGACGATGTATTTATGATTTCCAAGAGGTGCAACTAATTGTAGGCCTTACCATAGTGTTGTCTGACCAGCCAAGTTCTGCCTTTTAGGCTTGCACTAGCGGCTGGTAGTTGTGCAGTCAATGCGATAAATACACAGACCATCAACTGTATCTGAAGTCTATCCAGGGCTCAATTTATATCTCAATTAGACCCTTGAATGTAAGACGTGAGTTCAAGTGGTCGTTAGAAAGGGTAAAAGTTGTGTTCTATGCTCGCTAGTGCACGGGCAACGAATGAAATGGTCAACGAAACTGATCAGGTCTAGCTAGTAAATGGATTTTCATATAGGCTTGGGAATCGATGTTGCATGTAACCCTAGTCGAAATGAAATAGGACAGGGTGCGAACTAAACCGATTACACGGGTATGGTGGGAGCAAAACCGAGCCACAAAATGTATTCCCAAAGAAGAATGTCGGAGGCGCAGTAGCAACAGATAAAGGAAGAATTGGGAGTGTCAGCTAGTTAAGTCATGACGTCCCTGAGACCTGGCGTTTGATTTCTTTACATGTCTTCTTGAAAACAGATGGCTCAATCAAAGATTTAGGGCAGAAGAATTGGGAAGGCGTCTCACAAGAACTCAAAGTCAAGATCGTTCCTACTGGAGCTTATTCGTGGGATTTTTCAGAGTTATTAGCTGAGCTTGCGATTCACAACCGATGAGAGCCCGAAAGCATGATTCTAGTGTCGGCATTCAGCAGCATAAAGAGAAATCTCATGTCTGCCTTTGTCGGACACCATTATTGGGGCTATGGAAAAGTCACACAGGGCTTGGCTCTACGACTGACTTCGTAAGCCCTGCTTAGCAACAGTGAGCAACAGTGTGAACGATTGCAGCCTACAATGGAATGGCAATATCCAATTTGAGAAATGACCAGTCTGAGTAGATCAATTAACCGATCTGACTAAAAGAAACGACTGAGTGGTAGTCTCTCACATGAAATGTTTCGTAGCCGTCATTAGCAGAAATAAATGAACTAATAATTTCGAAATTCAACTTATTGCCAAAGTGCCCATTACTAATTAAATATTCTTTGAACCTACTAAATCAAACAATATTTATTACAAATATTTGTATGGCAAAAATAATTACTGGGGGATGTGCAATAGACTTACCTCCACGTGGTGCACCCTAGGCAACGTATATTCCTACGGCAAAAAAGTCTATTAACTGGCAGTTGACTTCTCACTTCAAACTACCATCACCTCACTCTATGCCATAGTCGACTATTTCCACAGTATTCACCTTACCTTTGTTCTACATTTGTGTTTGTCTCTTACATCTTTGAAACACTCTTCTGTTCCTCCATCTCGACTTTTTTCAATTTGATGTTCCTTCCCCTCTATGAAGACTGAAGTCAACTAAAGGGCTATAAATAAATAAATAAATAATAATTACTGGGTAGTGGCCAAAAAGGTCATAAGTACAGAATTGGAGTAGGGATTATAAGACGAAAGGTCACCTTACAATGGCATTATTGAAATCGAAATACTAGTGTTGATTATGTAGCTACAAGGGGAAACATGCTGATACGAGATCTTCTGCACCATTTATGCCATTTATACTCCGCCTCTATATTGATGGTGAGTAATAAGTAAAACCCGCCAGAAAGCATTGAAGTTGAATAGGCTCTATCAAACTATCAATTCATCTTCAACACAAATAATCGATAATATGCAAAATCACTCAGATGAGGGATTCCTTACACTCATTTGAAAAGTGGACAAGTATTACGGGAAGAAGGTGAACTTAAACACAGCGACTGCCCTTCCCACTCAATCAGCGCATGTCCCATGTGCTTCCAATCCGCGATCCTTAACTTCGAAGGCACACATAGAAATCTCTGCGCCACCCACCCCTATTTTACATTTCAGTAATTATTATTATTAACCAGAGTGGCACGAAAGTACTATTGTAATTGTCGAGGCCACTCGATGGACTAGCAGGAAGCCAAGCATATGGTAAATGGAAAGGAATAAAAAGAATACACAGAGCAACTTCAGGTTTACATGTAGTCCTACATCACTCTATTCTGTTCAAGATCGAATCGTACCCTGTTTACTAAATAAGCAGTCAGCTTTCCAAAACTCAAATCTCCCATTTCCGCCTCTCGATCTCAGTAAATGCTTGTCTAGGATGTTCACTGCTTATTGGCAGCTGATATTCAATCGAGAAGTGTCGGCCTTGCCATTTCAGTTTATTCTTTCTTCCCAGAGTTCAGTCGGCCTGTGGTCTGAAGTGATAAGCCCCAGGCTATAAATGCAGTACACCTGAATCCTAATCATTAGAGCACGTATTGCGAATGGTTGCACTTTTAACCTCGATAGGCAAAATATGGTGAACACCAACTGACAATTTAATATTTTTATCATATGGCAATAGAAATGGGATTTGAAAGATTGATATCTTGGCTCATCGTTAATAAGGCAGCTCATAGTCTTAACTTCGTGTTGGTTGAAATAACTGGCTGTTGCTAGAATAGTTTAACACGTTCTAAATTAGACATCCTTGAGAGTTTCTTGCTAAATGAACAGGTTTATTCCAAATTGGCTTTGGATATAATTATAATAGCTGATAAACTATGCGTATTTGGTATTTCATTGAGACCACTTCTTGCTACTCAAAAATCTGACCAATATGCTAATTGAATTGAGTCTCCCGACAGCATATATTTGAAAACGCTACGATTATGACTATTCAATGCAAATCTCTAACTCCAAGTTCTCTATTTCAATTACAAGTATTGCAACCAATTGCACGTTTGACATTAATAAAATCTGATCGCTATCATTTAACCAACAAATCGCATAAAAACACAATTCCAAAACCATATTTCATTTAAAGCTAGTGAATGCAAAGTGCTCAGAAGAGTGCAAATAAGATTTTAAAGAGAGGTTCATGAGAACAATTTTCAAGAACAATCCTTTTGACACCTTTCGCGGTCAGTTTATCAGTATTCCCGCTGAACACATCACCGTACTTTTTGACGAATCGTTCCACTTCTTGATCGAATGTGGGCAACGCAGATCGCACCAATTTCAGTTTGTTTTGATTAGCGAGTTTCAAAATTTTCATTCCATTTGCTGGTTTAGCAGTAGTAGGGTTAGACTTAGGCGTATTAATCTCTGAATGAATTTGAGCCGCCCTACACGAAGCCAGATGTGGTGCCTTTTCAATAATCGCTTCCCTGACATCTTTTTCTGGACTAAAGTATATGCGCATGGGCTGTCCATTTTGTGAAAAAGATTGTTAGCATCTTCCACACCTAATTGAGATATTTTGTCACCCAGATATTCAATAAGAAGGACGTAGTTTTAAGTGGTAGAATCCATGGACGTCCAAAGTTGCGGAAGGTATTGATGCCTACTTAGGATGTACTTCACATAGATGCGTTTCATGTCGTACAGGGTATTGGCTAACTCAAGAGGGATTGTAGGCATGCACTTCAAAATAGCATTTTTGAAGAACTCCT